CTTTTATGGACTGCAACTCTTAGGATTCCCCAGCCGGACGGCTGCAGGCTGTGATGACTGGGGAATTATTGTCACATAATAAGCCTTTCTGAATCATATCAAGGTATTTTCCAGTTCCAGCATTTTCAACAGTAACCTGTTACATGTCTTTGAAATATCCGCAAAAAGAGGACTAAGGATCAACCTACATGTTACAGATGGCATGTAATGAAAAACTGTTTCAGATATGAGATGCTGGCAGACTGAGCAATCCGACTTGCAAAACCAATGTCCAATCCCAAACCAAAGAAAGTTACTTTCCAAATAGTGGGAGGTGTGACAATCAGGTGGGAAAAGCTCATCCTATGGCAATCTTTGGGCACTGAATGCTCTTCTCTGATGATGGCCATCTATACTGCACACTTTTTGAACCCAAGTAATTTTGAGCCTAAGCCACAACCTTTGCCTGTAATCCACCACTGCAGAAAGATAGACTGGTTTGGCTTGAGGAGGTTTATTTTCTTTATTGTGGTTAATAGTCATGGGTAATTTTTAATCCACAAAAGTGACCAATTCATTTTTCAAGCTGTCTAAGATAGGGACTGTCGCCACATTCTTGCTTGTGGGTTGCATTCATTAGTTAGGTGTTGTGTGAAGTCCATTGTTCATAGACCTCAGTGCCTGTGTGGGCCTGTGTAACATCCTAACACAGGTTTTTCTTTCGAAGGGGCGGGGGGGGATATGTGTGAGAGACCACATCTGCCACTGGGTGCAGAGGCTTGTGACAGGCTTGAAGCTTGTCCTGCACAGTGGAGCATTCAGGATTGGCAGTAGTGGATCGCATGAGTCACATAAGAAAAAAAAAACATGTCTGGAAAGTTTATTATTATTATTATTATTATTATTATTATTATTATTATTATTATTATTATTATTATTATTATTATTATTATTATTATTATTATTATTATTATTATTATTATTATTATTATTATTATTATTATTATTATTATTATTATTATTATTATTATTATTATTATTATTATTATTATTATTATTATTATTATTATTATTATTATTATTATTATTATTATTATTATTATTATTATTATTATTATTATTATTATTATTATTATTATTATTATTATTATTATTATTATTATTATTATTATTATTATTATTATTA